AGGTTTCCACCGTCCATCCCCATTCCTGGATATATTTCTTGAGGTCTCGAGGTTCAAGGATGGTGGATGGTGGATGTGTAGATGTAACAAGGTTAGGTGGGTGCACCCCAGATTGCCAGCGCTATATAAAAGGGGGGGAGTGAGATTTCCCTATGTATTAAATTCAACCGTTGAACTAACTGCCCACCACTAAGTAAGTTATTAAACTAGTTTGGTTGATTAGTGATCTCGAATATTAAACTTGATAATACGGCAACAATCTTGCACCTCATCACGGGACAAGCGTGGCGTTGCTGAAATTAAATCAATGATTGGTGGTATTTCGGTATTGGTGCAAGCCCGCTTATACATGTGTTCTGTACATACTGTATTGTATCTTTGCGATCAGCCGTACAGCCCTTCCTGTCTTCCGGATACAATAAGGTTATAGTTTACCAGTCCAGTTCCGTGACATTTTACGGCAGGGCAATAACTAGCCTCTTTAGGTTTGGTGTCGCTGGCAGGCACGGCTTTGCCCAGCCAATGGTTGTTGATCGGACAGGGGACAATGAAAACAGCGCTATGTAAGAATACTGGCGCTGGTATTATGCGATACGAGGGCTAGAAGCGGGGAGACGTCAGTCAGGGCCAATTCCACCACTTGGGAGCAAAGAGGGCTATGTAAATGACAGTATTCCCTGTATTATATACAGGCCGGTATTCTGGATCGAGTGCTGCTTTTTTAGTCGCTGGGTTCAATCGCCTGCACCTATTATTATTATTATTTCATCCTCCTCACTCACTCACTCACTCACTCACTCTTCACTATATCTCTCACCTGACCTTCTCTTTTTTTTCATTTTGCCCCTCTACCAGCTATTGCCCATCCCATTCTTTTTCTACTCCATTCCCTGTAAATTTCCTTTGTCATTCGGTTAATATATCTTTTTCTTAACTCTTCCGACCCGCTGATCACTGTCTGGACTCCCTCCGTGGTAACTGAGTTTGATCACTCAAGGCCGTAGCGCCTCTCCAATTCTCCCGTCAATCCACCAGTGAGTCGCGTGTCACAATGCGGTGGACGTCTGCCTCTTCGCTCCTCTTGCTCTTAGTCCTGCTGCTAGCCATAGCTGTTGCTGACGCCGGCCCTGAAACGCTCGATGGTGGATTTGGATACGGATATCCAAATGTAAAGGTGAGAAAACGACAGCTCGCCTCCGATGACAACTCACCGCCGGCAACTGAGAGCCCAACTCAACGGCAACCACCAACTCAAACCCCTCCGACAACCAGTGAACCATCACCACCACCAGAGTCGACTCCCGATCCAACCCCCGAGCAACCCAGGACCACACCACCCTCCAGCACACCACGGACACAACCACAATCCTCCACTACCCCTCAAGATACTCCAACACCCACTGCAGATAGCACCACACCTACCCAAGACCAACAGCAACCCACAGAAACAAATAATGTCCCTTCCACAACCAACAGTCCCTCCGTCGTCATCGTCACCAACACCCTTACTATCAGCGGCACCCCCGTCCAACAAACCTCCGCCTCAACCGTAGCCCCTGGCCAAACCCTCCCTCCCGGCCTGGGCAACAACGCTGGCGGATCAGGTGGCTCATCGGGCCTAAGTGGCTCCAACAAGAATACCGTCATTAGCGTTGCCGTGAGTGTCGGAGGAGCTATTATCCTGGGTGGCCTAGCCTTCGTGGTGTGGAGGCTGCGTACCAGGCGGAGCTTCCGTGGGCCTGGTGATGAGGATGATTTAATGAATGCCGGTACTGCTGTGGGGACATCTAGCCTTGAGACATCGGGGACCTCGAGCTCTCCATTTAAGTCGACGCTGGACCAATATCATCATCCGGGAGGGCTCAATGCATCGTCGAATTTCTAAAGGTTGTGTGTGTCTTTAGGAATTGGGCTTCGCTAATGTTTTGACGCTTATTGTTTTTTGGCTTTATTTTTATTTTTATTTTTTTTGTTTGCATTTCACGGACCATTGCGACATCTACCGGTCCTGTCGGCTCTCGCACTGCATCTCTGGATGATATATTTCGTGGGAACCCATGCGTGGGTAAATGTTGCCCTTATTTGCAGCCTTTATTTGCATGTCTGTCTGTATTTGTTCACTGCTCGTGTCTCCGTCTGTGTCTTCCCTCTTCTTCATTTGGCGTGGTGTTGAATATGGTTGTTGTTTTTGTTGTTTTTGTTGTTGTTGTTGTTGTAGGAATACTGATACTGCTACCCCATTTGATTTTCTTCTCTCTTGTCGTTTAAAACCATCTTTTCCTGTGCACCTTCCGGCTTATCCCCAGGCCATTTCGACCCTTCCCTCCTTTCCCCCTTTCTCATTTCTACACGAAGAAAACCGAAAAGAAAAAAGGAAAAAAAAAGCGAAAAAGAAACAAAAAAAACGAAAGAAAGCATGCAACCAAACCTTGGCTGCATGCGATATAATAATAATAATAATAATGTCACTTTCCTTGATCCGTTAAAACATGGTTTTTCCATCACCGAAATGGCCTCCCCCCCTCCCCTTCAAACATTCCTTATCAAACTGAAATTTATCGAATATCTGTTTTCGTACTTCCGGCTTTTGTCTTTCTTTCTTTCTTTCTTTCTTTTTTTCATTTAGAGTGGTGGGTTGATTTGATTGCCCCTTGTTTTTTTGTTTTTGCTCTGCTCTGCGGTCAAGCCAGCGCCTCAGCGCCAACTGCACACAACTGCACAACTGCACAACCGCACAACCGCACAACCGCACAACCGCACAACACAAATGTACGTCCATCCCAGAATAGAAAAGAATACAATAACGGGATGGACTCGATATCCTCCCTCAATCACATATCCCGTTCATCAGTCACTGCACATTATTATTTTTCCTTTTCGTTTGCTTCTTATTCCAAAGACTAACCAACTCTATCCTTTCTTTCCTCGTTACTCCGATGCAATGTTGTGACAATGTTTGCGGCGGGTTAAAGTAAGTTTACTTCTTATCCGGTTCAGCATAGCCAGAGCGAGAGTGATATCGTTAGCGAGATATCAGCCACATGTTTTATAGAACATGTGTGTGTTAAATGGATAATCTACCTTGAGTTTTCGCCAGGAGAGGTAGGTGGTTATGAAATGGGGGTTAGATAGCAGGGAGGTTGGGGAAGATATTATTGTTCGTTTACTGCCTGTTGCTCTTTTTCATCTTGGGTCTCAAGTCTGCCTTTCTTCCAATACAATTGGATTATACCTTGTATGTTTGTATGTACAATTTTTTTTTTTTTTTTTCATTTTTTTTTTTTCAACTTTATTCTCTTACGATGAGAACTTGGGAATTAAATTGCTGTCAGCTTAGTCGCTAAACTTACAGAGAAGCTATTTTAATATTGATGTTGATATTTTTTCCCTTGTAATTCTTGTCTTTTTAACACTTGATTTTAACGCAAAGGCTCCCCCAGTTAACCACGCCTACATGCATTGGGTTCCAGGCAGCGGGTTAAGATTTTGAAAAAGATTTATCCTTTTCATTTTTCGCTTTTCGGAAACCCATGCTCTTCTATTTCCAGGTTCCACCTGTTTTCTGTAGTCTCCAATTCCAATCCATGTATCCCTGCACGCAAAGATGGGACGGGTTGTACCCGTAAGCCTCCGTTAGGGCTGACGAAACAACAACGACGAAGATGAAAGAATGCCGAAATTTCCAGGCACTGCATTCTGGGAAATCATTGGGTATCCAGGATGTTGCACCTCCAACATGTGGTGTGGTAATTCGTTAGGATTTAGAAGGCCAAGCGTGCGTACCGAGAAACACTCGGTTCGCCATGTTTCTGTCCTCTATATTATGTATGCACAGTAACGTGCTCGTTGGTGCAAGTCTGCGTTCCATACAACTATTTTACCCCTGAGACGATCCAGCAGCCACCACGTAGCCCACGTCTCTGACTCATGTTTATGCAGGTACAGAACCATGATCGGGTTGGATCGAGAGTCACCCTCGAGCCCTGTCTGGTTGGGTTCTTTGGCATTTGCAATTTTTACCTTTTGTGATTTGAGGAATTTTCCTTTCTAGAGTTGCGCCACCATCATCGGCCTGGCAGAAGAACATACCTACTGAAAGGGTTATCCATGCTGATAAAACCCCAAGGATAAAAACGTGATAAACCAATAGCTGCCGTGACTGGAGAGGCGAAAGGCGGCCGTAATTTTTTATTGGTTGATTTGTTTCATATGTATATAAGTATTTCTCCATTTCTACCCGCAAGATTGGTAAAATAGAGATCTGTGGATGTTCACACATCCTGCAAGTCCATTTACCCCACCCACTGTGTTGGCAACTTCATTGGTGAAACAGCACTCTAACACTGTGACGGATTGTGAAACCCTTAGGGAACTCCTTTTGTCAAACCCATGAAAAGTCAGCGAGACCCTGTCCCTTCCCTCACGAAAGATGCGACCTTGTACGACGGATTGTTCTGGCAGAACGTGTATGCAGATGCTAGATGAAGAAATGCGGAGCGCCTTTCAAGGGGTTAAGGTGGGGCGGAAAGCACTGACTCTCGAACTTTTACCTCTGCGGGGACCTTGCTCCTGACGGGACGTCTGTGCCATGAGCACGGAACAGGTCGGCGCATCATTACATTATCTTAAGTATTTCATCCAGGTTATATACCATCTCAGAGAACAGTACTTCTCTTGGAAATTTAAGTGCTAGGAGTATAGCTCCTTTTTGGAGATGTTGTGTGTTTCCTGACGTATCATGTAGAGAGAGTATGAGAGACCTAGTCGGTTACTGAACTTGAAGACATCAAGGGGCCCATAATATCTTTGCTAGTACGTTACAGAGGCGTTTTGGTCAAGAAATCACCATTATCTCTTTTCCATTAGTTATAGTTGACATTGGATGTTGAAAAAAGCTTATTTCTTTGCCGTTCTATATTCCCCCCAACCTGCAGGTGAAATGGTATCTCTACGTATTATTCTATATGTAAAAAGAAAAGGGTCCTAATTGCACGACGGCAATGCCGTCCTATCATCGTTACATGTCACTAGTTATTGCACAACTTGCGCTCGCGTCTGCGTGGGAGAGGCTGCACGATCCTCTGCGTATTCGGCAGTATCAGAATCTTCAGGTCTATTTAGAAAATGCTTTCTATAATTCAGCGATTCATAAATATCCCATGGGGAGAAGCTGATGCGCCGCTGAAATAGGTATTCAATCATGGGTTGACAGGTGCTGCGCCCGCGGTGAGTTTGAACTATCAAGTTGATGTTCAGACACCTAACTTAGCAAGGGAGATATCCCGCGGAAGGGGAAAAGCAGTGCCTTTTCCCCAGATATCGTTGAACTGGATTCGATCTTACTCGGCTATGATGCTGATATGAACGGATTCCTTTGAATGACAGATAACGAATTCTGGACACCGGGACAAGCCATCTGAGGTCCACGGAGAGATGTTCGTGAGTACATCCAAATGAAGGGAATTCGGCACAAGGGATTCGTTGCTTACCGTTTTGAAGTCTGATTTCCACAGTGCCGGACAACAAAGGTCAATATATTCCGTGAATATGTTGCTCTCATGGCCCCAAACGTTACCGAGACCCCGTGAGCTAAAGATGCAGATTTTGATTTCTTAGCTGTGAGCTCCTATTTGATAGATGCAAGACGGTAAATCTTTCCAGTTACTTCGTTTCATTTTTCTGCCCCGTGAAGGAATCGCTTCTGCATAATAGAACTAAAAGTTTTGGTAGATCGTAAATGAAGTCCACGGCATCAATTTCACCGTCCAAGATTGTCAGAGTGAGAGAGGTGCGTTTTCAAGTCTATTATCAATACCTGCTTTTCTATCCCGAATGTTCCTGTCCTTCGAAGCCATTCAAGCTTGGAGCGTGTGAGTGAGAGAGAGACAGGTTCCTTTGCAATGTGCAAAACGAAATTGGAAAGCTAATCGCTGCATAATACATTTCTGTAGAGAGTTGTAACGTAGCACAGCAGTCTGCACCTACGAAATATTTTATCGAACACGTCCAAAAGACAGCGGCTGTGTCCTCGGAGTCTGCTCTCGCCCCTACATCACCGTCGCACCAAGTGGTGATGGTGTTAGATGACGAATTTGAATTGCTTTGTGATGTAGCTTAAATGGAGTATAGCCTTCAGTCCATGGATAGGATGCAAATCTGTGCCCTCATACATCCCATAGTTTTTCGAATGCTAAGATTGTGCCAAATACTATGTGCGGGAGTCCCTCTGCCCAGTCGTTCTTATACAGAAACTTGAAATAATATTGCTGCCAAAGAGAGGAAGACACATTCAGAAAACTTGATTTCTGAAATGAATTTCGATCTGGAGGCCAGGTATTGTTGTTTGATGAAGTATCCGGCAGCTTTCATATCCTAGCCAATGACGAGAAAAGTTGCCTAAAAAGTTGACCACATCGGCCAACAATATGGATAAAAAATATCCATACCTAGATAACGCCCCTGCCACAACGAGGACGATCAAATGATAATTAAGAACCCACTGGACTGGGGTGCAAATCAAGTCGATTCCAGTCAACCTAACATGTTTAAACAGTGCTGGACCGTTGTCTTGTTGTTGAGATTGCCTTGAATCCCTTGGGAAACTGTTGCAGGCGGATTCCCGAGGGCTTCAGCCTTTTAGCCTAATACGGTCTAGCGCCATCACACGCGTGTCGGAACATAATCTTTCGCGTCTACCTAACATTTAATCCTCTTCGAATATTCCAACAACTCAGTTGGCCAGAATCATGCCTCCCACATCGATATGCCAATGACAACAGTTATAAAGCAAACTACATAGATCCCCCCCACCCCAACGCATATTACCTGCTGATAGTAATAATGTTTACTACTGTCGCCCAACCTTCACCCTCGGCAAACCTTTTCTCGCTGCCACCGCAACCGCTTCACCCCCCACCACTCAACCCACGCCATGCAAAGCGACCCAGATCCCATTCCTACACCACAATGGCCAACAGCAAACCCGAATCACAAATGAAAGAGCATGTCGACGACAACAAGAAAAACAGAACCTCATCCCCTTCACTCTCCCGACAGTCATATGCTGAGCGCTACGCTTCGCAGATCCGCTGGCCCCCCGCTCAGATCGTGCGCCAGCATGCATCCCGTGAGAAGCAGCGCGATATGTTCCTGAATAAAGTGAAACGTAGTCGCGATGAGGGCAGATTTGAGGCGAGAAGCGACCAGATGCAGATGATTAATTATCTTGTGCAGCAGCGTAGGTATCAGGAAGAGATTGAGAGGTCTGCTCCGGATTTTGGTGAGATGATGGAGGAAGTTGAGGGGGGGGAAGGTTTGATGGGTTTTGAAGATGGGCAGGGAGTGGATCCGCGATGGGGGAGCCGTGGTGATGAAGTGGAAGGTAAATATAACCCATATCATTTCTGCTTTGTTAGACCACTTCTTAACTTTTTTTGCCGTATATGTCCACAGTGATACAAACTATATATGCTAACATGTGATGACCAGCAGAGGAGCGCATCCTGGAGGAATTTATATCCCAGGAAGAGCAATATCAAGCATTTTTGGAGGAGCTGGAGAGCTCTCGAGAAACAGAGCAACAGCTGCAGCCTTGCCCGCCAAGCTCCCATTACGATGATGAGGATTACTACGAAACTATCTTTGCCGATTTGATTGACAACGGCCATGGTCAGGCCAAATCATCAGGTAAGAACGACAACGTAAATGACGGCATGGATACATCGCAGGGCTAGATATTTTCTGAAACAGTTTTGCATGTGAACGGGGCATCAAACGGTGTTTGGATTTTTTTTTTTTTTTTTTTTTTTTTTTTTTTTTTCAAATCTAGCGTGGCGTTCTTGGGAGCCGGAAAGGCTTAATTTTCAGTAGAAACTTTATGTGGCATTTCATCTCAAGGGAAGTGGTAACCGGATTCTTTTATGTACAATACACGATAGGGGTAGTAAAGGGAATAATTGGCAAGACATGAAGATATGACGGGCATTTCATAGACCCAGGTGAAGTCAATACAACAATTGATATGTGGACAAGAAGGAAAATAAATTGGCTGAACATTTCTATCAAATTATCATTGCTGAGGACATTCCGGTATATCCCCAGGGCCACCCCCTCCACCTAATGTACTTGAGATCCCAAGCTCATCCGCCAGCGGATTTGACACTAGGGCATCAGGAGGACTGCCCGCAGCTTGCATCTATGACCACGAATTAGTTAGTGCGACACTTCAAATATCCTATTGAATGAAAAAGAAATAGGGGGAAAAAAAAGAAAAGGAAAAAGAACAAAACCATACCTTCTGCATCTTCTCCCAAATATAAGCCCTATGCTCCGGCTTATCATCCGAATACCCCTCCTCATCGAACTTCTCCACAATCTCCCTGACAACAACCGCCTGCAATTCATACCTCTCCATATCCTCCTTGGGAACCTTGCCTCTATTCTCTTCTAGCCACGGGCCAAAATTATTATGTAGCTCCTTCATGGGCTCATATAGCATATCCTTATTCGACAACTGTTCCATAATACCCATGAATATCTTATCAAGGCTCTCCTCGTCATTTCCCCCTCCTGCACCAGCCCCTGATTCCATCGCCTTCAACAGCTTGACGAGCATATCATCCCCTCCATCCTCGGTCGCGGCAGCCGTAGCTTTCTCTCCAGACGCCTGCATGCGCTCCATCGTCTTGCGGATCGTTTCTTGGAATTTATCACCCACTTTATCGCCACTGCCACTACCACTCCCAGTGCCACCTGGAGAGGAGGCAGCAGCAGCAGCAGCAGCGGCGGCACCAGCTTTTGGAGCCTCCGCCGCTCCCTTCCCATCCTTCTTATCATCACCAAGTCCAGCAAAACCAGGTAAATCCGCCTCTCCTCCTCCAGCCAAAGCGCCCGGACCCCCTTCACCCATAAGCAACTTCATAATGTCTGTTGGGTCCATGTTACCCTGCGCCATTTTCTGCGCCAGAGCATCCCAGTCTGGTTCGCCGTCTCCGCCGGCTGAGCCCATAAGCTCCGCCATGCCTTGCTCCAGTTGCTCGATGAAGGCATTTTCGTCGAGGTCAGATTCGGGAGCTTTGGTGGCGTTTTTGTCAAGGTATGATGATGTTGGTGATGATGATGGTTGGGGAGCTGTAGTTGCGGTGGAGATGGGTTTGTCTGATGAGGAAGCGGGTTGTGTGGCTGCGGATGGCTTTTTCAAGGTGGAGAAATCGTCGAGGACGTCTGGAAGGGGTGAGTTAGATTGTTATGACTTTATACATGGACATTATCCTGTGAATTTATTTTTTCGGAGGTTTCGATCTCTTGATGTGGTAGAGAATACTTTCACCCTCTAGGTAAGACAAGTATTTTGGGAGAAAAGCAAGAAGCCAAAGGAAATACATCCGAACTCACCATCCAGATCCTCCCAGTCTGATCCCTCCTCATCCTCTTTGGTAGCCGCCGCAGCGACAGGAGTAGCACTGGCTTGCGGAGGAGCTGTATTGGTCGTCTCGGCTTGTAGGGTTGTTGAGCTCTGTTCATTTATTTTCGTTTCCACAACAGGAGTAGCAGTACTGGATTCCGCAGGGACATCTATATCTGCCTCCGGCTTTCTACCCTCACCAGCCATCACTCCTTATTTCTGTTATTTATCCTCGACGACGAATTCGGAGGCGGGGTAAGGTAAAAGGAGTGGGTCGGAGGCTGGGACGAGGGTTCACAACGGAATGGAACAACGATAGCAAACAGTCAACTAGATCAATTTGGAATTCCAACTTTTCTTAATGGAGTGGTCAGTTTTGTCGCAGTTTATTGTTGGTGTCTCGTATTATCTCGGCAAATGGTTGCTGAGCTTCGGGTTTTTTTTCCCTTGACGGACTCTTAAGACACTCCGCGCTTGGCCGGACTCGGACTTGCCGCGGTTCAACAATCCATGGATTGTTAGTTACGAAGTTACTTAAACATAGACACAGGACTGATTCTATTTATTACTTTTTTTTAAATTTATTCTATTCGTATACATTCTCTTCTCCAGTGGGCATGAAATAATTAATTGAAATTGGAAATAACAACTTTTCTCCAAATCCCTTACTATCCTTTTCCCGCCTTCCCTCTTTTCAAGCTATCCGGGGCGCAACTCTTATGGGCCCCAACGTCAACAAGAACGCTCATATTCTGCTCCTGCATACCGATCGGTACATCAACTGCCGGATTTCCCGTAAAGAAATTCACCAGCTTCAATGACACAAGCATCTTTTCCGCTGGCATGACTGGCCAATCCTTAATGCGCGGATTGTGTGTCGTGCCAAACGTATGCCAAAGCACAATATCCTGATTCCGCACATTGGCGGCTGATTCATTTGATGCACGGGATTTAATCCAGGACGCAATCCCGACCCCACCAAGCGACTACATCGTATAATCGCCGGAACTGTACAGCTCCCGATCACCGTATCTAGTAACCCAGGGCGGGTGCGAGCAAAACTTCGATCTCTTGGCGTGTAATGACGTCGGGTGCGCAAGCAACATCTGCGAATAATGTGGGACAAGCTTATATCCGACGGGCCCATTGTTGACCGGGTTGCGCACGTTTTCATTGGTGATTTTGAACACACGACCCTTGGTGATGTCCGTGTCCAATGTGCTTTCGACTTGGGCGGTTACTTGGGAAGTGATGTAGCCGATACCTAATGAGTTGTGGATTTTGGGGTTGTCCAGGGGCATGGGAATGGAGTCCTCGACGACGAGGATGTCATCAAACCCGTCTATGGCTGGATCAATGCGCAGGGAGAATAGGTGCTGGTGGTAGGGAGCCAGGACACCCGGCGCCACGAGGGTCCCGTAAGGACTGAATCGCCCCTGTTGATGGGTGTAGTTGAGAGGATCCCTGTGACGCGAACTTCGTAGTTGATGGCTGCATCCTGAGTAAATTGGAAGGCGAAAATATACTCGTAGTTGCCTGCAGTGATGATGGTCTGCAAAACTAGGATTCGGGAGCGGGTCACCACAGCATTCCCCGTGCGATAATTATCGGAGACAAGGTCAGGATGATACTTGCTGGTGTCATGAATCTTTGACCTGTCAAACTTCTTAACCCCTTTGGTAATAGGGGTATATCAGTCATTTTCTCCAGATGGTAAGTTAAATATACCAAGCATCTTCAAGTCATCTGTCATCTCCACACATAGATCCAGCGGATATGGCTAGTGGTTTGCATCCGCATGACTACTAAGATGCATGTAAAAATAGCACTTTTAGCCGAAAGAGAAATGATTTTAGCACATTTTATCCTGACCGTTAGAACCGAAGAAGGAAATTGGGGTAGGGAGATAAAGTGGTTATAATATACGCCCATAACCAGCCGCTTCGACATATCCCGCATCCCATCCGTCCCATAAGTCCATGCCTCAACCACAACAGCCGCATTCTCCGGCAACTCCAATTGATTGATCGCATCCTGCACACCCTTATCTGCAAGGCACTCCTCCTCACAGGCGTTCATTAGCGTGCCGTCGATATACGAACGCTTCCCGGTCAATTTCGATTCGTCAAGCCGTTCCCCGCTGGTTAGGTCCACCCTGATCTCACGGAAATCTAAAGAATCACCCAAGTAAAATTGAACGAGGGCAGTCCTTTTGGGTGGTAGCGCTGCGCTAACTTCCGGAGTTGAGGAAGATCGTTCAGCTTCCAGAAAGCGGATCATCTGCGCCTTTGGCGGCTCTGCATGTGTAACTACGCGAAATATCACATTGTGGCCTGGATATGAGCTTTGATGTATTTGACGGCCTAGGTGATTCTTTAGTTATTTCCTTGGAAGTCATAGAACGACGATTCTGCGAAGAATGGGTGTTTTAGTTTTTTATTTACCAAAGTAATCTCCTGCGGCGAGAGAGGATGAAATCGATGCGAACTAGCCATCTTCTAAGCTTGTAGTCTTCCTTGCAATTGTAAATTTTCTATCCTCAAAACGACACGGAAAGGTGATGGGTCCGAGGCAGGAATTTGAGCGGAAGAGCACAAGAGCACAAAACATCTCCATGTCTGGAGAAAGGTGGATCTGCCCCCGGCATTATATATCTTTTCACGAAAGCTCTCCACCTGCCACAGATAGATAGTGAGCACCGTTGTTGTTTGTATTTGTTGTCTGGATCCGCTTTATCAAGTTTGGATGCCAACCATCAATTCTTCGCGCTGAACCTTTAAGAGGTAGGTTGAAGCGGAAATCAAACCTGATATGTCCCCTCCATCGTAAAATATTTGCCGTGAAAAATTAACACGGGAAAAGGATGGGATTATAACATGGGTGAAAATTAAAGTTAAAACAAATCATAACTAAATCATCTCACTTGGTACTTGTTAAACCATGGTGAATTGAGTTTGGATATGTTGATTGTGGCAGGAGAACCGTGGGATTTCCATGATGCCCTACGATCGTTCAACTGCGACCATTGTAAAGGCACCCCCACCGAAATGCTTCACATTCTCTCTCTTGTGAGGTAGTTACGTGACCACACGATGGGGTCGAGCATGGATCATGTAGTTATCATAACGAGTGGCAGGGATTATTCGTCTTGAAATGTGGGGAGAAGTAAGTGTGGGGAATAAAATTAACACCCCACCTTCAAAATGGTGTCATCTTGACATCACGGACAAGGAGGGTTTGGATTGCAGAAATGACTCGCAATTGGAAAATAATAGACAGCCATCACAACACTCTATTGTACACAGCGTTCTGTTCGATGAACTGTGCTGTTCTGCAACAAGTCAGAACTCAGGTAGTTATGTCTTTTCTATTCAGGGATGACTTTGTGTTTTCCGCATGATTATCTTGTTTGTTGACTCACACAACCACGAAATTCTAAGTGCTAAATCGCACGAATCTTTGACAATTAGTAAAAACATAGACGAAGGATGGAAAAGCTCAGTTCTACTATAGAGTAATACGCTCACCTGGTAATCCGACATCTAAACTGGGAGAGGAAGCATTCAAATGCTTCTGGTGCTCCATGCAATCACATTTAGAGCTCGCGCTCTCTCTAAACAGATTTAAATGCTGTTCAGTTTTTAAAGAGTTGGATCAATAAAGCCTAATACAGATCCTGGTTTGTCCAACTTCATCATCCTCCTCTTGAAATAAACTCCGGAAACTTCTTACTGGATTTCATGTTTAGGCGAAACTGAGGACTCGGTGAGCCTTTCTCCAGCACGAAACCCAAGCTGGTAAACCCAGTCAGCCCAGCCGAAGAAGTTCCTCATCAACCTTCCACATCTCATAGCAACAAAATAAAGGGTAGAGTTATAGGTCCCGCGAATAGTTTTTGCCCATCTTTCGCGTCCCTAACCCAGTCTCGAGACAATCCATTAAAAGCCCTTGGGAATGCATTCAGTTCTCTGCAGCTTGGACTAGTTCTGATACTGGTCCAGCTCTACCAATGATATTTCTCAAACGTAAGTCACCAATCATCATACCTTGTCATTGCATAAAAATAGTGGACCCTTCATAAATTTCTTTGATGATTTGTTCCTATGCAGTTGACTTTTTTTTTTTTTTTTTTTTTTTTTTTTTTGCTTTTTGCTGCCAAAGCTCCCTGACAGACGGCACAGACAGGTCAGACACGGACTCAATTAAGAATCTTTAGACCAGTAAGCGTCTAGGATGGCCTATCCACAGGAAGTTTAAGAGAGGGAAAAGCCATAGTAAGCTGGTATGACTGTGCCTTAAAACCCAATGGGCTCGGAATCACACTGCCTGGTGCGAAAACTGGCATTTGACCACAAGAAAACATCTGTGTCATCCTTGTTGTGATTAAAGTAGGGGTCTTGCAGCTTTGGCAATGAACACAGAGGGCACCTGAAAGAGTTTCATGGCAATCAGGGTTAATAATAGTGATGTCGACAACGGCTTCCTAAGCGGTGTGATCTTAAAAATTACAGATTTCGCGGGCAACCTTGAAAGCTACCATGACGCCTATGTCCAGGTGAACAAGAGGAGAGCTTGGGACTCTGCAATAGGTGTTTGGGAGGACTTGCCTCCACCGCGGATATCATGAGACAATCAGAAGCCAATCTGAGTTTCTCGGAGTGGTTCATGACTGGTTGTTCTTGGTGACGGCCAAGCATCCTTCATACCGGGAGGGGGTTGAATAATATTGACGATTTCTCGAGGATATCTGGATACCATGAATTTCGCGGAGTTAAGAGAAAGGGATCTGCATTTTCCCCAATAACCAATGTTAACCACTTTTTGGATCACTTGGTCTGGGGTGGCGCCGTAAGCAGTCCCTTAAGCTGCTTCATTTACCCCAATTCGGTGGCGCATGAGTGAGGGAAACGACTACTCAGTACTCAGCACAGATGAGGCTGATGATGACCCTTGGATGAGACATACAGCTAAATATCATAAATATCCAGCAGTTTTCAAGATGTATGTTTTCTCATGTGAACCGAGCCGCCAAACCTGCTCGGTTTGAATCCTTCCAGAAACGTTCTATCGGGGGAATGAAATTCTCAGGTTAAAACCAGTGTCGGGTTCTACTATTATTATTAGGGTTGGCCGAACCCGATATACTAAATCCACTTACTAGTGAGTCCTTAACTAAACCAGGACAAGTTACATGGACGAAGGTTCGGCATAACCTTAACTCAATCGTTGAAATTTGGCGCGCCTACATATTTCCAAAAGGCGTTGAGGCGCATTTAGCGCATAATCGGGTGGCGTATTAACTAATAAGCATGCATGGAAACGGTCAACTGGCGAACTAGTCGTTTCAACCCCTTTTTCCAATCTGCGGAGAAAAACTACCTTGGAACGCGTCTAAAGAAGGTCAGTTACAAATGCTCCTGAAGTTTTCTTGGTCGCTAACGTTTTCACATTTGCGAGTTCTACTGCTTTGACGTCATTTCGATTACAACAACGGCCAGCTGCCAGCTGGTCACCATGCGCTGAAATAAGCGGACAATTCCATTTCAGCTCCTGGATCTCCGCTGTTTTTTTATACAAATGATGGATTATACAACAATTTTAAAGTCTAAAATCTGCTGTTTCGTTGCAGTTGCCATGCAATTCGAGCTGCAAGTTTTAATAAACCTGAACTGCACGTGAAGTCATGGTAGGGCTTGCAGGAAGATGCGGAACTACTTGGTGCAGATGGGGTAGTTCGGAGATATCCCTGCAAGACGTGGGATAACGACTTAGCCGGACTAAATCCTCCTTCTTCCCGCAATATCTCTCCATCATTTTAACCAAACTCTCTAGGGAAAAGATCTCCTTCGCCCCTGGCCTCTGATGAAGATGGGTCGCTCCACAATGTTGCTTGGACCGTTCCCTCCGTGTGTTATCACGCTCTATTATCTTGGGATTGTTGTTCACCTGTCACTCCGACAAAAATACATCAAAATGCATTCCACTTGGATCCTTGGCTATGGGGATCTAGGTGTTTAAACCTAAAAGTTCCAAATGATATTTGCAACACAAGTACGGAGTATGAAAGCGTTGGCGGGTTGTTAACCGAAGCCACCAATGGCTCTTGCTATTTAACAACCCATATTCTATTCGCGGGTGCCATCACCAGAGTGAGTCGCCTAACCAGCTTTCCTAAGTGACAAATTCAGTTGAGTATTGATAACTAACGCCAGAATCGAATAAGTTTCCAGGTCATGATGGCTTGCTGGGTCTACCTAGCTAACACCAAACATGTTGAACATAAAAGTCCACCTATCTGCCCTGTTTTATGTTCTCAGGGTCTCAATCATCACCCTCTTTGCTTTTCATCATTTATGATTTGGAGCTTCATGGAAGTTCGAGGTTTTCTGAATTCTTCCCCAATTCCTTTCTCAATGGTAATTTCGTGATTAGTATGACGAATTTTGGACGCCCTATCCCTGGGATTCCCAATAAAGGATGGCAGCTATGGAATATCAGCGTTGTGATGGTCATCATCTCCGGGCTTTTTGTTGTCACTCGTATGACGGCGAGGTATTCCCATGGCGGTATTCGGGCTGACGACTGGACCATCTTTGCGGCAATGGTAAGAAGGTCTTCTGTTCTGCTTTTGTGCATGCATCCCCATTGATCAACATGCTGACGTTTCTTCAGTTCGCGGCGGTCGTGCTCTCCGTTGCTCACATTATGGGTGAGTTAACTATCGTCGGTAATAAGTAGTGAGGTTTCATCTTACTAAGTGATTCAACTCGTCTCAGCCGTGGAAAGCGGATTCGGCAAACACGAATGGGATCTCACACACGGCGAGATGATCCAAGCGCTGAAGGTAGGAATCCTGAAGTGTCTGCTGCGGCTTGGCATTCATTTCGTGACTTCTTGCTCCTGGCACTGATTCCATCATCTATCTGAATTGTACTGCAGTTTGTGTTCGCTGCACAGGTGATGTATAAATTCGTTATCTGTTTCACCAAAACCTCAATCCTACTTCTCTACTTGCGAGCCTTCTACGTACGAAGGTATTTCCGATGGGGATGCTATTTAATGATCACGTTTACTGTGGCTACGGGAATTGCATATATTCCTCCAACAATTTGGCAGTGTACACCCGTAGCATCCTTTTGGGATCGCAGTATCCCCCACAACTGCATTAGCAACCGCCCGTCGTGGCTATCATATACGTTGGTCAACATTCTTAGCGACTTTATGATATTAATTCTCCCAATCCAAGAGGTGCTTCGCCTCCAATTGAAGACGAGGGATAAGGTCGCGGTGATCATGATTTTTGCTGTTGGTGCATTGTAAGCAGGGTCTTATTTGATTGTTCAGTACATGTAAATTGAATCAACGAAGCTGATCTATCCACGACAGTGTTTGCGTCACAAGTATCGTTCGAGCTACCACTATTGCTGCATCGGCCAAGGTAAAGGATGTTACATGTGAGTAGACCCGTTCATATTTTCCCCGCTGCCGTTCTCAAGGACGAACTTGAGCTAAACTCCTCCTTACACAAAACGCTAGGGAGTCCTATCCCCATCGCATGCTGGAGCACCGTGGAGATCCACACCGGTATAATCTGCTCCTGCATGCCAATGATCCGGCAACCTCTTGCCTTCCTTTTTCCACGCCTCTTTCCAATCTCCAGTCGACATGACTCAGACCCGAACACAAACACGTACGTCAAAAATACTCGCCGTCGAAAAGGAGGTGATACTCTGGCCACTGACGGTTTGGCTTGGATGCAAAATCACGACGATCACATTCACTTGACATCCATTAAGTTCTACAAAGAGGGACAGTGCCGTCCGACTGAGAGCGAAGAACGAATATTCAATATGGAGAATTTGCAACCCCCTGAAAATGGGATCGTTACGAGAACTGATGTATCCATTACCGAGACTAGGAGTGCCTAGAGTGGTGCTTTTTGAATAATTTATTATGATGAGAAAAATGTTGCATTTATTATATATCCTAACTCCCAGCTCACTGAGCTCAGAGAACACATTCAACTAGCTATTGGGCGGGGGAGCCAAAAACCATGTCGCCCTTGGGGAAAACGTGGGGAGAAACGAAGAGATTAGCTCCGGTATCTATATGACTGTGGCCAGAATAAAGAACCCAGGTCTCCTTGTGAGTAAGATGTCTTTAACATAAACCGTACGTGTCGAATGGAAGATCTTTGATAATCGCAATAGCCTTTTTAAACAACTGTAGGAGATCGTTTCTGAACCGAGATTTAATTATCGGACGGCGTAACCACGATGAAACGGTGACAACTGTGTGGTTTAACCGTACCCCTGTGGGTAAAGGAAACTCTCGTATTCTCATATCAAGCCATTTTTTCAACCGTAAGAGTATATCATTGCACGTCAAAGGTGTTGCTTGAGGTTCAAAGGTTTCGGCTGGGGAAACTTTCGGCGTTGAACTACCGATCTCTCAGTCACCACAGTAAAACAACACACCAATCAGCCATATATCGCAGATATATCTCACATCCATTGGATACTCTCACAAACATTACCATTTAGCATATATCTCGGGGTGCGTTTCTTTCATCCATATTTATCGAATCCTCTAACCAACCCTAACCCAGGGTTATGGTGGTTATGAGGTTGAGGGAGGTGCCATGTTTTAGCGGCGTTTCAGGAGTTCCGAGTGGAACGTGGGTATAAATTTAAAATCCGAAATTGATCTCATCTCAACTTTCTTCGACCTGCACTCATTATTCCTGAACTACAACCCCACCAAAAAAACGCCAAAGCATCAAATTGGCTAGGCGTTTGAAGACACTGCCCCTGCTTTTGCGTCACGATTGCCGAGTGGGACCCCATTTGATGATCTACCAGCGGGCTCCCTAGGGTCGTGACATTCGCTGGTTTTTCTTCTGCATCTGCTTTGAACTATGGCCTAGATGTCATTTGGGGCACTTCGGGCACGTCAAGCGAGAAGGATCGTGAGAATTCAGTCATTGATTGTGAGGCTTTTGATCGAAGTACCAATCCTCAGAAGCAGTGTGCCTTCAAAGGCTGTTAGACAGCGGACATTGATACTTAACATCTCTATCTACGTTTATAACCCAGCTGTAGGCCCTTGGATTTGTCAATATCGATATGGTGAGTTTGGGATTCCAGCGCTAGTTCTGAGAGCACCCGAATGTTTGAGGTCGCGAATTACATGATTTTTTTAATTGCGACAATTTGTGTCTGTCCGCCTTGACAACCATTCCCGCGGCATGATCCCATAGCTGTTTTTACCCTAGCACCCCATCCATGGACTCCTCCGTCCTGATTCTAATTTTGCGCTTCATGAGTGAGAGCGTCACTCGAGTTGGTCAAAGAACGGGATGGTTCTCCGAGGTTAGAATGATAGGGTCATATATTTATGCTTGATCCATGGATCCACAAATCCTACCAACGTACTTTTTTTTCGGAACGTCAGTCCGTATGGAATTGCAGATGCTTCGAATTCATTAATTACTGCAGCGGAAGAGGTATCAGCAAACGTTAAAAAAAGACACTCTTCCAAGAATAGCCAACTTTCCAAAGCTGCCCGAACATAATACCTACATCATGAAGTCGGTGGAGTGCCTCGTCGTCCATCTTAAAATACGTGTGTGCAGTTAACAACTCGATGTAGTTGGCATTCCAACAACCAACAGGTGTTTGGGATTGCCTGCTTACTATATATTACTTTTGGCTCCGCAACTCTGTGGCTCAAGTGAACAATTGAGCTCAATGTTTCTACTATGGCTCAAGGCGGGACGATATGGCTACGAAAATCCATGCATTTACCATGACTCTACCTCCTAGAATATTCGTTGCAAGTTGCGTGGTCTAGATGTTTCATACAATGACACTTCCGCTTCCAAATTCAATCGCCGATACTTTTCACAAAGGTCTAATGCGGCAATGGTTAATTATCATACTTCAGTCCGCCTATGTTTGACGATGGCTAATGTGGGCGGTTGCCGTTTGACCATTTAGACAAGTTAGTTCGACTCCCAGTATTTGATGTTTTCTTCCATTCTTTGGCAAAGAGCCTCGAGGCTAAATGTAGGGCTTCTCGGATGTATTATTAATCCGATGCTACAACCCTCAACGTATCGTTCCCTGCATCCAACATCATCCAGCGGTGAGAACAGTGAGAACATAATGAGAGCCCTCTGCACTAATCTGGAAGCGATAATTCCCCAATAATTCCAAGGTCGATCCAGCCGATGTGGTGTCTGTCCAGACAAAAGTTCAGCTAGCAAAGCGGCCCGCGTGCTTAGACGCCTGCCAAGCCTTTTTGGGTTTAACTAACTTTCTCATGAAACAGTTGAACATCCTTCGAAGTGTTCTCAAACTTTGCTATTCTGGACCCTTGCCTCAATTCTATACGCTGTACTTTGAAAGTAAGGTAATGCTTTCTTCGTTCTTCGGAATACGTCCCGAGGTTCTTTTAAATACCCTTCAGCCCTCTCTTGGGTTAGTTTTTAACACCAGAGCCGGTCACTGCACTCTCCAACCATTCCAGAAAGCTACAATTCGGTACACGGGTCATTCGGCTGCCTGAGGGAAAGACATTTAGGCAGAGGGCGGTCCGGGCGGACAAGCCAAAAGGTAGTGATTCCGATGGTTGCAAGGACTTCGTCTTGTTCGATTGGCTCACTGGCAGGTTAGTGTCGAATGTCGAGAACATGATCCGGCACAACACTTGAGGGTCTTTGGTTAACTCTCCAAGGTTTGCCATGCGAGTTGTTACTAGTAGTTGCGCAACGCCCCAAATGCTGAAGGACTCGAAAGGAGGTTGGAATTTATCCGCCATTAAATATCAAATTCCCACGTTCCGGCCGGATCTAGGGTTAAACTGTAACTTTTTGATACAAGATCTCATTTAGCCTTCAGATTCTAAATGTGCCCAATGACAATCCAACAACTATCGGTATTGCCCACAGAAGACCACCCCGCAATTCTGGGCAGCAAAGAGAGAGCTAGGGATAAAGTCGGCGGGGCCTGAAGCGAGCTGTATTGAAGCTGTAACAATACACCTGGGAGTTAACTGGCACAGACCACCGGGGGTCCAGAATTTAACGGCAACCGAGATATTCCGGCGGTATTGGATGTATCGAAATAGGCAAAAGAAACACAGGAGATATGAGAGTGCGTCCACTTTCCCCTCTCCTCAAAGTGTAGTTTATGATCAGGCAACCAATGACCCACACAAATCAGCAACCGTGCGGCATGACCAATTTGTGATAACAGGTTAAGAAGAAAAGAAGGAAGGGAAATGGAAAAAGGCAATTACAACAGACAATAATTCAATTATAATAAGGGTTGGGACCATTAAAAAAGAGAGAACATACGTACTGCGGGTAATAATACGCAACATACTTACATACTCCGTATACTATCCGTACATACCATAACGGAAGAGCTAGCCTTTGAACACTGTCCCCGATACGACCCCGATACTCTCCCCGCATCCGCTTCCCACATGTTTCTCTTAGTTAATCATAAATTCACCTCAGAGCATCTACTCCACATTCTTATCGCCGACCTTTGACTCTCTCTGCGCTCATCTTCCAAAGGTTGGGTCCCCTGTTCTCATCTATCTTGATCATTCAACGTCCCCAATAGTTTACCTTTGAGATCTAGCCCTACAGCCGCGCGTTTCTGCGCCTTAGACGCACCCGGTGCGTGCTTTCGCGGGTGTTCCCAGCAAGCCGCCTCCACACTTCTCTCCGCTCCTCACGCCCTCCCCTTTCTCTGCCCCGGGGTTCTGGCCGTCTATTAAACCCGTTCTATTGCCTCTATATCTTGCCTGTTAATCTGTGCACATTGCTCAATTGCCCGATTGTACCCCTCCTCCCTTCCGCCTCTCTGCGTGATATGGGATCTCGGGTCAATGTCAGCCAGATTAATTCGCCGGATGGTATTAGAATGGAGGAGGTAATTCCGAAATCCGAACCCAACCCTGAGGGTTCTTGCAGTTCATCAGTCTCAACACCAGAACCAGATGGTGAAACGGTCATTCAAGATGCTGCCCATAGGCAAAAGCGTAAGGGAGGCCGAAAGCCCGTAGGTTGTCTTCTGATTGTCTCTTTCATTTTCTACTGTATGCTAAGTTTGTTTCTCAGATATATGCCACCTCTGAAGAGCGTAAGCAAAGGAATAGGCAGGCGCAAGCCGCTTTCCGTGAGCGTCGCACCGAGTATATAAAGCAGCTGGAGACTACCATCAAGCACAATGAGGAGACTCTTCAGACATTACAACAGAGTCACCGGAGCGCCGCTGACGAGTGTCTGATGCTTCGCTATAAAAACTCGCTGCTGGAGCGCATTCTTCTGGAAAAGGGTATGTATCTTGTGATGACTTAGAACCTGTCAGACTCCCAATAAAACATATACTAAAGCCCACCTACTGCCTCCATTCCGATTGCTAGGCATCGACGTTCAGGCTGAGCTGTGTTTGAAAAATGGCAGTCCCAATCTGCCACCAGTAAAACCTGCTAGACAACCCATAAGCCGAAAACCCCCCCTTTCACGAACCGCTATGAACAGGCAGTCTGTCAATCGTCACAAGGTCAGAATGCCACAAAAGCTTGACCAATCTAATATCCATCAGGCACATCGTGAGGATTCCTATACCATGAGATCCCCACAACTACAACCGACGCCTAAATCTCATGCCTCATCGCCTTCTGCCGTCAAGTCGCCCGTCTTCGGCCTACAAAGCGGTATGTCCCCACGCTGCGCAGAAATCCAACCCCAGCTCCAACATAATAATCTGCAGCCCCACCAACGACCGCCAATATTACCCCCGCTCGCCGGTTACAACAACAACAACGGTGGTACCAGCGCTCACCGTCCCATTTCAGCTACCCCTTCCTATCCCGCAGATCAAACCACGGCTTCCTACCCGAACATATCCCCAGGTAGCCAGATGAACCCAAGCCGGCCTGGCTCAGGTTACTATCTGTCACCATTCCAAAAGCATTATGATCAACTAGGCAAGCTGACCCCCACCTTTCCCCCCCCAAATTAATAAATCGGGTGCTTGTTCATCTTAATTAACACCTTACTCTTTTTTATTTTCTACAAGTATAGAACAGGAATATGACGCCCAAGTCGACATGGACGATGATGAGCCGGACAATGGTGGCGATTCCGCGGAAGGCATTTCGTACACGGTCGGCTACCATGACGAGACATCGATCTCGTCTCGACGGGCTCAGCGGAATGAGCAGCGGGCTGCTACTGCTATTGCTGGCCATAACGGCCAGATGGAATGCTTTGAACGGGGAGGTTCGTTCTTTGATCACTTCGATCCCATGCTAGATGCAGATCCATTTGGCTTGACGGCCAGCATGCACTTCCAGACACCGTTCAGCTACGGTCAGAACCACGCACGGCTGTAACAATGTGTGAAAAATGCGTACATGTTTACATTCACATGCCATTCACACGCCAACACATCCCAACTCACAGCTCCCTTTTCATACATATATAAATTATATATATAATAAATATTTCGGATCGACGAGATGAAATCTACACTCTACAGCGTTTTGAAATGGATGGATGGCTGTTTCTCCCTTTTGCTTCTTCCTTCACCACCTTCACTAACCCAACTTTTGCTCATGGAAGGAAAGAAATAAAAGCTGCCCGCCTTGAAGGCGAAATTGGCACTGGGATTTATTTTGGGATATCTAGTCTACCTGCCCATACATGTGTGTCTTCTGATTCCTAAACAACGAAAAAAGGTTCAACCAGGTTGGCGCGTTGGTAATCATGGGGGAAAGAGTATTTTCACGAAGTCATCGCAAGGCGTTTGGAAGGGTGTTTTTTTTTTTTTTTTTGGTGAGAATTGGGGGGGGGGTTGGTACCACAACTCTTTTTTGCGTTTTCTTATGATCATGACTGCTATATATTATTTTCACTATTTTGATTTCTTGTTGCTTTGTTGACTAGATGATTTGATGAGCGTTGGATTTTCCCTCTTCCTTTTTCCCTCTGTATTTCCCTCCTTATATGGGCGTATGGGCGGCCTTATGTCGAGGTAAATTTGCCAGTTCATTATCAGTTCATTATCTGCAGGGCATCGATTGTGTAGTGTACTGTACAGAGTACATACGGAATACGGAGTACTTAACTTGAATGAAACCCCACAATGAAAAGAAAAAAAAAAAAGAAAAAACCTGTTTTCATCCCCCATTAACTAATGAACATGTCAACTAATAACTAATACTTGGGTTTTGTTGCCAAACTGCTGATGGATGATGAGTGACTGCTTACCCTAAGCCCTAACCCGACCAAACCGATCCAAGCCTGGCCCGGGCCGACAGTCGCTCCGGCCCAGACATTCGCTTAGCAAACCCAGCGCAGCCAACCAAACTCTGCCCATCCCGTATCTCATCCTGGCGACCAGCCAGAGGCAAATCAACCATCTCACATCCACTCCCCAGTTCCTCTCCCATTCATCACCCATTCTCTCCCCAACCTGCATCCATCTCCGCTCTTTTCAGAGGTCACGGAATTCTTGTTGCCCTTCTAGGATTTCTGCCCGCTCCGTCTGGCCCCCCCCTTCTTTTCCCCCCTTCCCACCCTTACCGAATTGCTGCAATAACAGAAAGCCTTCCAAGGAAGGCAATATCCACAAAAACCAGGCGTCATGTCGGACGTCCGGTCCAAGGTACGAAAAAGCAAGGGCTGCGGATGATGTGCAATTAATTGAATTGTCCCTGCGCGTGAAGACTTATGTCAATCGATGCTTGTTATTCTGTAAAAATAAAAGAAAGAAAAAAGGAACAAATGAAGTTTTCAGTTTTTGCGGTCATGAATTTAGTTTTTGCCATACAATGTTTTGTGGTGTTGTGGAAAATGATGCTAATATTGCTGACCCGGTTTTCCTTAACCCGTCGCCCACAAAACAGAACCTGTACGAGCTTCTTGGTATGCAATTTCCAACCACTCTCCCAAAACCTTTCAATTTTCCCGTGAATATATTCAAAGAATGGGCGTATATGTGGGATATAAAATATAGATTTATGTCTATAGTTATATGTATCCGAAACATAAACCCGTTGAACTAACATAATGGGTCCATGCAGGTAATGACCCCGAGGAGGATTCCGATCGGGAGCCATCGCCACCCACTTCAGCCGTAGACAAGACCGGCCCGCGACACGGGAAGCGTGACGGCCTTTCCGATCCCCCTCGTACAAGCAACCAGACCTCTGCGCGTTCTTCTAACCGTGGAGGACGTGGTGGACGATATGGTGGTAATGAGCAAGGTATATATACAACACTTGGTGGTCGATGGGGCGATAAGACCCTTATCTACATGTTCTATCTATGTATATGCGAGTATACGATTATTCTAACGCGCATTATCCTGTCCCTTCAGCATTCCGTGACCGTGAGGCTGGTTCGCGATCAAATCGTGGCAGGCCCGTTGATGGCCCCCATCAACATATCCCAACTGGCGTTGTGAAGAATCGCGATGACCGTGGTCATCTCCTTCGAGGAGACCGAGCCAACCGCTCTGACAGAACGTAAGCCATTCCATACATTTTTCAAATGTTTTGGGAGAGAGAAATTCTCTCCAATAAGGATCGTTATTAATATTACTCTTTCTCTTGGTTTTGCAGCGTGACCTCCAAGCAGGTCGAGCAGGGCTGGGGCTCCAACGCGGGTGACTCTGCCTGGAAAGACGAGCAGGCCGGCGAAGCCATTGCAAAGAACGAACAAAAAGGCGCGGAAGCCAATGCAGCAGAAGCTGTTGCCGAACCGGAGGAGAGGGTCAAGTCATACGATGAATACCTTGCTCAGCAAGCCGAACAGCGGCGCCAGGACCTGGGTGTCAAGGAGGCCCGCAAGCCCAACGAGGGCGTCAAGGCTGACAAGAAGTGGGCGACCGCCAAGGAGCTGAAACGCGACGAGGACGAGTCTTCCTACATCAAGGGCAAGGAGGAGAAGGCCCGACGCGAGAAGGCGCGCAAGGAAAAGGCGTTTGTCGAAGTTGACATGCGCTTCGTCGAGCAGCCGCGTGGTGGTCGTGGTGGGGATTCCCGTGGCCGTGGCCGTGGCGGCGACCGTGGTGGACGCGGTGGCGGACGTGGTCGTGGTGGAGAGTTCCGTGGTGGTCCCCCTCGTGGCGGAGCTTCTCGTGTCAACCCCACCGGCCCCAGCGTCAGAGTCGATGAGAAGAACTTTCCGGCTCTTGGCGGCGGCAAGTAAAATTGTTTGGGAGAGATTCATTTCTTTCTTCCTTTTCTATTCTCTTTGTTTTTCTCAATTTCATTTCTCCACTCCGCTACTTGCAATTGACATGTTCTTGTCATGGTGGGTTAAAAAAAAAAAAAAAAAAAGGGAAAATGGAAGGAAGGAAAAGAAAAGTGCATGTGTGTCCTCCTTGACTCTGTCTCTCTCCAGCGCACAAATGATATAAACCTCTTGTTGTCCATTTCAACCACTGTAGAAAACCTACAAGCTAAAAAATCCTACCTGTTTCTTATGCTTTTTCCCTTTCTTTGATTTTGTTCTCTTATATTATTTCTCTGTTCTCTGCAGCGACGTTATTCCGCTTTTTTTCGTCTTTTCTTTCAATCAAGACCAAATACAGTGGGGAGGGCGGAAGGGCGGAAAGGCGGATACGGGAAGGGGAAAAAGGAGAAGGGCAGAATAAAAAACGCTATATGGAGGCTGTAGGAAAAATATACGGGAAGTTCATCAACTCATCTTGTTTCTAATGGAGAAGGGGAGTCAGAAAGGTTCTTGATTGATGACTTTCTTTTTTTTTTGTCGTTTCTTCTTCACTTTTGGGCTTTAGGTTTTCTCAATGTATTTCCCCCTTACTTTTTCTATACATATATGCAAATAAAAAACCCCCCCCCAAAAAAATCGTTCTCCTTTTTCTCTCATTTTTGCCGAACTGTCCGTCTCCTATTATTACCTTCCAAATTATTTCTAACATGTATACATAATACAATAGGCTGCTATCTAACCCCTTCCCCTTCCCCTTCCCCTTCCCCATCATTTTTTGAACATTCAATTGTTCTAACATGAGGTTGCCGTTCAATATGGTGGCGACGATTACAAGCACCCAAGGATAAGATATCTCTAGATATTTCTAAATCCCTCTTTCTTGTCCTGTTTCACATATCTGCGTATAACGGAGCGAAGCATTTTCATACTAGTAAATCTTTCTTCCGTTTTCCAACTCAATTTCTTCCATTTGCCATACAGCAATGGATGTTGCATATGAATGCAATCTCCTCTCCTCCCGCAACCATGCATCACCGCTTCTATTCATGATAGATGAAGAGAAACTGCTGCAGCTCTCAGCATATGCAGACATCTCTCTCTCTCTGTGGAAGTTGGTGTGAAGGGAGCTTGATGACAGATACGGATATCGAAATACCTCTCACTTTTCATTCCTTGATGTTTTATGTCGAGACATCAATGTCAGTATTTCTTTTAAAAGGATGTCCCTTCCCTTCCCTTCCGTCCTCCTTTTCGTGGCTGTGCCGTGTTTGTTTTCTTTAATCTTGGGCAAGTTCAATCTCTCATCTCCAATAGCGGTGCGTTTATATATCCACCATGTTGGATATGTCTATACTCAAACACATCATCTTCATACCCCTTTTCTACGCTCCTATCTCAGCAGAGCATTCTCCACCACCACTGCAAACAAGGTCCCCAAATTCTAAACAACTCTCCCCCTTTTCTTTCTTTTCAATTACCATCCTTACCTCTCTCACTTCATTTCCACAAGAATTGCAAAATGCCCACTCTCCACAACGTCACAATCACCCCCATCATCACTACCTTCTCCGCCACCAACACCACAAGCACCAGCACCAGCACCGCCAACGCCACCGGGTTCTTCAGCGAACAAATCCCCACCTACGACCTCCATGAATCCATTGAAAGTCCACGTAGCGAGACGTGCTTCACTACCGCCACACGTCCGAATACAACATCAACAACATCCCTCTTTTCTCAGCTCCTTAAGCTCACCGCGTCCTTCGAACCAAACACCTACCCAGTTCTAACCGCCCACATTCCGTTATACCCAACATCGTTCAAATATGTACTCGACCCACCACCCTATGACACGTGCGAAGCTATGTATTTTGAAATGGAAATTGGGGGCGAACATATGGTGAAGTGGAGATGCGGTGTTGATGACGAGTGGAGGGGGGAGATGGAGTTTTGTTTTCGGGTGCCGGGTACAAGTGGTGGTGGCGGTGCTACGTCACAAAGGATGTCCGGGACAGCAACGGCAGACATAAAAGCAGAACATCCAGATTCAACGACAACAACAGAGACAAAGACAAGCTCAAGCACGAGGAAAAGGACAGGTAAGACATGGGAAAATGAGCTATCCTCTCTCCACGCCAAACCCATCGAAATC